CGAATCTCAGGACGTGAGGCATCCCGTGAGAAGATCCCAGCAGATGCAGCATCAGCAGCAGCCTGGTGCTCCACCTCAAGCTCCTGTTAAACAGCAGTAGGTAGATCCTCTTCATGTTGTGCTGCACGGAACCTCTAATCTCTGGACCTGTAGATCCCACAGAGCTGCTCACTAACGTGTTGAACATGCGCTCTCGGACAGCAACGAGATCACGGCATGGTCTGCACCGGGTGGAGGAACGGCGGTCTCACGTCCATCAGAGCCCAGCACGTGCAACTCACTGCGCCAACAGAAAGCAGCCTTCGGACTCAGCCAGAGGGGCGTCCATGTTAGAAAGAGCAGGACTGGAACATGTCCACCAACTGGAAAAGAGCAGAGACACGGGAAGATGAGAATGCGCTCCCGGGTCCGGTCCGGTGCGGTCCGGTGCGGTCCGTTCTGTTCCGTTGGGGTCTGCCGCACACCGAGCTGACGTGGAGTCAACACTAGAGCAACGGGAGTTCACAGAACGGGTCTGGTTCTTCTCTATAGCTGGTCACACTGCGCCCTTTGATCTGGATCTCCAGCCCGAACTGTCAAACCTCTCCCATGTCTCCGTCCTCCCCTCCCTCCCTCTCTCAGCCGCCGTTCTCCGGTTCTCTCAGCTTTCCTCCTCTCGGTGGCGGAGTGCCTCTAAAACGCACCTCATAAAAAGAGTCTGAATTGTAAAAGGTTGTTAGTTTGATCAGAGTCGGTGGAGCGTGAGCTTGGGGCGGGTTCCGGTTCTACCGGTCAGTCTGACGAACAGCTGTCTTCTAAACCTGTTAGATTTCAGTTTTCACACAAACCCGGTCCGGGACCACGGGAACCAGCTCCCAAAATGTCCCGAACTAACACCTCTGGGAGACAGCACGGTGGGGTGTGTGTGTGTGAAAAGACGTGTGTGTGTGTGTGTGTGTGTGTGTGTGTGTGTGTGTGTGTGTGTGTGTGTGTGTGTGTGTGTGTGTGTGTGTGTGTGTGTGTGTGTGTGTGTGTGTGTGTGTGTGTGTGTGTGTGAATATCCCCAAGATGTTTGCTTATAGAGTTTTATTTATTTTTGTTCTCATCCAGACATCGTTGTTGTTTATTATTTGTAAGGAGAGTAAACGTTGAATATTCTCATTTCTAAATTCTGGCAGCTACATTTTTCAGATAAACTTCAGGAAAGTGGAAGAAAAAATAATAATAGATGTCGACAAGAGATAAAAAGTTACTGTATGATTAAAAACAAACATCCGAATCTGATCCGGAGTCCCGCTTTTAAAGGAAGGCAGGAATCAGCACCACGGACAGCTCCGCAACCGAGCCCAGGGCAGGTTCAGCTCCTCAGACCCGGTTCTGGTCCTGGTCATAACGCCCATCTGAACCTAGAACCTTTTCAGGGTTCTGCATCAAACGTTTTGGCATCAAATGGGCCAGATGTGAATCAGACTTCAGAACCACTGACCCGGTTTGGTTTCGGCTGCTTTTTTTATTTTTATTTTATTGGATTTTCGCTGACCGGTGAACCAAAAGGGGAACGTGTTTTGTGCACGCGCACGGCGCTGATTGACGGGCAGAGCTTTGTGATAAATGTGCATAAAGTTTTAAACGGGCCTTTTGTGGATTTTAAGGCTGGAAGATGAAGAGAAAAGCTGAACCCCGCAGCCTCCGGTGCACGCGGTCACGTGGCTCTTTGCACAAAAACAGTTAAATAAACGCTCTTTTAGCGCATGTTAACCCAGATTAGCGCCTGAAGTCCTTCTGACCTAATGGAGGGAAGTGTTTGTCTCTAGTTAGAACTATTGTTGTATCGTGAGATTCAAAATGTCCTCCGATCAGAACCAGAACGGCACCGGGCCGCGGAGGAAGAGGATCCGAACCGCTCCGCCTGTCCTCATTTAGGTTGGCTAAAAACACAAGAGTTCAATTCTTTCCAGGGATTCCGGGTCGGACCCATCTGGAAGTTTATTTTGATATTTGTGCTCAAAGTGGTGAGAAGCAACTTTGCCCAGTAAAATGGAACAAAGTTCGGTCCAGAAAGAGTGCCGCAGACATTTGCACCTAGAGACGAGGACAGGAGACATAACTCAGCTGGATAGGAAGTAACGGGCTTACCTGACTGACACAGAGACGGAGCTGTCTGGTTGTTTCCACCAAGAAGCCGAATCCCGTCTAGCAGCACAGAGCTCCGGCCGGAGGGGAGACACGCCTCCTCTCGGGCGCAGGGCGGGCGGGGTGGGAGTGGGGTGGGGGTGGGGGGTGGGGGGGGGGGGGGCTAGTCTGAAGCAACACTCACCCAGAATAAAGTCCAGCGGCCCAGAATGAAGCGAGGCAAAGGAACATAACGGTCCGGGTCTTATGGGCTAAATATGTGTCTTTTTATCTTGAGCACGAACAGAAGACTTCTGGTTCCAGCTGACAGATGAGACCTTACCAGATTTCCACCAGATGCGTAATTGTTGCAAAACATCCACAAACCTGAATACGCCGACATTAAAGGGTGTTTCCACTTGACAGGGGCACCTCTTCCCAGATTCTTCTCAAAAGAATGTTTGGAGAATGATGATCCATCATTTTTCATCTGCGCTCATCTCTGCTGCTCAGAGGTGGGTCCTACATAAACTCAGTTACATTTACTTTAGTTCCTTTCCACCAAGACAGTTACATCAAGGAGTAGTTTTGCTGGGTTATGTGATTAATATTAATATGAAGTTTCAGTACTACTCGAGGACATTCTTAAACTGTCTAGTTCTCCCTGGCAACCAAACATGATTGGCTGTTTAGCTGCACCTCTGGCCAGTGCCCCCAGGGGGAAATAATGTATGACTCTTTTGGCAGAAATCCACTGTTGGTGAATATTTCAGATTGCATTTAGGTACACACTATTAAGCAAAACTGACAAATATTTGAATGATATATTTTATATATTTATTTATTTCCTTTTGCTTCGGGAGTGGAGTCGCCCCTTATGGATGAACTGCCATTGGTTGCAGTTCTCTAAATTTAAGCTTCAGGCATATTTTATGTGCTCAGCAGCTGAGACTGGGCTAGATGGGAAATCGAACAGGGAAGCTGAGTAAAGAATCCAGCAATTTTCAAAATAAGACACGTGCAGCCATACAGTTGCTTTACTAGTAAAAATAGAAAACTTCATTACCTGTTTCGCCTCCTTGGTGGAGGTAAAAGGAACAGAAAATGAACACACACCTTTTGGGTACACGCTGCCATCTTTTTCCATGCCTGTTATTACGTGAACTGGTGAAGTCATATATGGTCTTGCAATTCTCTTGAGATTTTTGACCACGTAGCACCAGCAGCATGGGACGCCTTTGTTGCATTTCTGAAATGTTCTCAATGGAGAACAGAGAGAACGACCTGCATGTCGCAGGGAAAACACATCTATTATGTTACACACCACTTATGCATCAGGAGGAAAGGTGGCTGGCGTGTAGAGCTGAATCCTCCTGCAGGTCTCTAAAGAATTATGCCTAAACCCACCAGGTGTCTGCATGATCTAGGCCTCCTTCATTTGGCTCTGGGCTTCATCATGAGAATATTTTATTTTCTTCTTATTAAAATCACCAAACTTCCTCTTGACTGGCATCAACTGAAGAAGCTTCATAATAAAAAGACAAATTTTTTAAAATCTCTAAAAACAAAGTACTACATTTCCACAAATGAACCATATGTTTATAAAATAGCTGGATGAGTGACTTTATTTATTAAAGAAATGACTTTCTACATTTCTGGAGCTCATCCTTTCTGCCAAAGCCCGGCCTTCCAAATAAAAAAATACCTAATTTGAGGAGAAACTTAACGAATGACTAAAACACACTGGTCTGGTAGATTCTTTATTCTAAAGTTATCTATTGGGTAATCAAACAAAGTCCACAACAAACCAGGATGTGCATTTATTCATCACAGGAAAACAGAAAACTGTAAAAAATAAATAAATAACCCAGATCCTGTCCTGGTGTACTCAAGCCTCGATCACACCGAGTGCAAAACGGAACGCGGATCTAAATCTGTGTGATGATTCTCCTGTAAAAACTAAAGGAGCCGGCAGAATGATGCAACACAGGTTTTATTTTGAAATAAATCAGACGCACATGTCTCGCTTCCTGTCTGGCGCAGGTCATTTATTCAACCTTATGATGATCTGCATGAGGCGTCCGGAATAAACAGAAACCATGCAGAAGGATTCTGCGGCTCCACAGCTGGAATTGAACCGCAGCCGGAATAAATGCTCTGATTGGACTTGGTGCTTTATGGTCTGTTTCACTAAATTTTCCTCCAAACGTGAAACACTTTTGAATTATAGGCAAATACATTGTTTCTTGCCACCCAATCAATGATGCAATGCGGGAAACGTAAACAATGCCATGAAATGTCGTCTTGTTATCCTCCAATTATAGACTGAGAAATCTGTTTGCAGTGTGATGGTTCAAGAAGATGTGGCTGTTGTCTTCCAGCTCTTCTGTACACACGTAGTGGTTATCCTGAGCAACATTCCAGAGACGTTCCACACATGACCCACCGTTGGTGCAAATGGCTGTCCATCCAGAAGTCACATGGTATTCATTTGGCATCTGTTTGGCACTCGGTGTAAAAGAGGCTTCATTCTGCAGCAAACTGAAGACAATCACACTGAAACCTGTCAGAGTGTCTTCTTCTTCTTCTTTGGGTTAACGGTAGACCCCAGCCTGTTCTGCTGCATTACCGCCACCGTCTTCACCAAATCACTCGCAACTAAAACTCACACAAGAGCAAAGTACTGCAATCTCCAAAACAAGCCAGTCTAAAACCCCCAAAACGCCCAAATCTGAATGCATCACTCGTCTCTGAATTTCATACCCAACAAAGACGTTCTGTTTCTTCCTTTCTTAGGCAAGCTAGATGCCTAGTCGGCGTATTGCTGCCAAAGCAACCGTCAATCCACTCCCAAAGATGATCACACCCTCATGTAAACTCTGATCCCACGTAAAAAAGCCAGCAGCGCGCCCACACTCCGTCTATCCTCCACCCGCAACACGGTCCGTAGACTAAACCCCCAACCCCTACGAAACCCAAAAACCTGAACAGGGCCCTCCTCTCGACCGAGTAATCGGGACAAAGCAGCAAAACATGTCCCATCATTTCCAGCACCCCACAATGGTTTTCCTTTGTTCCCCAAAGCTCCCAAGGTAAATCAGACACAGATGTGAGGAATAAAGACCCAGCACACCCATTATGTCTCTTCTTGTATTCAAGCTCACTGTTTTTACTATTTTGTTTGTGTTTGTTTTTTTTTATGTGTGACGCTCTAGATTAAAGGTGAAAATTCCTCACCTCCATGAAACTCTGACAAAACCAGATGCCTTTAGTTTCCTTGACTGGATCAGTTTTCCAGTGTACTTATTTTAGATCAGAAAATGGAGTCTCTGTCTTCTTTGTTCATTTATTTAATTGTATTTTTTTTTTTCGTTTATTTGTAAAATGTTGGTAAGAAATTGTTTAGCACACGTGATGTATAAAACCATACATTCTGGACAAATGGAATCCATTGTTTGCATGACTAAATGTCCCATTTGTCTCATTTTGCATTAAGCTGAAAAAATCAAAACCGATTTGTAACAGATTGTTTTAAATATTATGAAAACCAAAGAAATAATTCTACCGTTTGTCAAAATGCATTTTTCCTCTTTAAGAATTGTGAGTTCATCCTAGTGTGTGAAGAAGATGAAATGTTCTCTCCTCATAAGTCACTTCATGTCTGGATCAGCTTCCTAATAACTGACTTTATGGGATCCAGGTTTCATTTGTTTATTTTCAGTCTGCTGCTTCACATCAGTGACGCCTCAGCAAATAAC